TGCCACACTGGCAAGGGAGTTGGGGATGCATGGGAGATTGGGAGGAGACACAGCTGGAACAGGTGACCCAAACTGACCAAAGGGATATTCCATACCATAGGACATCATGCTCAGTATATAAGGTGGGAGGAAGAAGGAGGAAGGGGGGACATCTGGAGTGATGGTGTTTGTCTTTCCAAGGAACCGTTACGTGTGATGGGCCCTGCTCTCCTGGAGATGGCTAAACACCTCCTGTCTTTGGGAAGCAGTGAATTAATTCCTTGTTTTGCTTTGCTTGTGTGTGCAGCTTTTGCTTTCTCTATTAAACTGTCTTTATCTCAACCCATGAGATTTTGTAGCTTTTACCCTTCTGATTCGCTCCCCCATCCCGTTGGTGGGGAAGTGTGTGAGTGGCTGTGTGGTTCTTGGCTGCTGCCTGGGGTTAAACCACGACAGAGGTTTACAGGCAACTTTGCAGCACAGGCTTGGGAGAATTTGCCTAAGGCCACAGGTCCTAAGGTTGTGTGATTACGGCTAGGAAGATCTGTATCTCCTGACTGTCAGACTCCTGATTTAATTCATATTTCTTGTTTATTTTTAATCCATTCCTATTCATTTCATTCCTATTTCATATTTAATTCATATTTTAATCCATGATTTTTTCCTATTTGTTCATAGCTGTTTACTTTTGTCCATGTGTTTCTTCATTTTAACAATGCTTCTTTTTCCTTCGGAGTCTTTTTCCTCCTCCCTGTTCATTATACCTTGGAGTTTGTTGTTTTTTTTCTTTCATTTATCTTCTCTGGTTTGAGCAGTATTATTCACCTTATAATGGTGTTTACCCAGTGTGTTCTCCCCAGATGCCTCTTCTTCGTTCTTCAGTGCCTCTTTGCTCTCACCAGGGGTGCCCAAGGGCTGGAAATTCAGGAGAAAACTGCTGGATGGCAGTGCAGGAGAGATGCTGACGTTGGACCAAGCAGGTCACACAGGAGATGGGTCACTTCACAGTAAGAATCCACAAGCACATGTGGAAGAGGTTGAGCATCTTGCCTACCTGTGGGCAGGTTGATGATGCAGCCTCAGCGCATGGAGGCTCATTTCTTCCCGCTGGATTCACCACAAAACCCACTCCTTTTACTCACTCTGTAAACTGCCCAAAGTTTACAGAAAGAAAACCAACCTAATTTGTGCAGTAGCATTCCAATGCAACAAATAACTGAGTGGAGGCTTAAATCCTATTTCAATTAGTTGCAAAAATGTGCACTCCAGGTTGTGATGAGGACTTTTCACCAGCTCAATTTAGTGTCCACAGAATGTTTTATTCTGCAACTTTCTGCTTTTTAGGACTTTGGTCTCCTTAAAATCTCAGGACTGTTTTCACAGATGAAACATGAGAGAATTTGCCTATCCAGTAGGTAAGGATCTACATTTAGAGGAAAGCTTGTTCTGGGCCTGCAACATTCCACAGTACACATTTTATATGCCTGCTCACACAATCCATCCAGATGAGAGGCTTTAGAATCACATCTTTTGCAGCATCACACCGAGGAAACACCATCCTAAAGCGAGTAATACAGCCAAATTCACTGAATGAACAGAAGCAAGACAGGGAAATTTAGGTCAAGGTGAGTTTATTGTCCATACAGCATACCTAATCCCGCCAAAACACTTTGCTTTGAACCATCTTTAAACTAATCAAAACAACAGGTTATTAATAAAAATGACAACACTGAACAAAGACCTTTTAAAAGGTAATCAAGACTACACTGCATCAGAGTCTTACCCATCGAAAACAACCTCATGTACTTTCTAAATACTTTTGTTTACACTGATCATGTCTACTACCACACTTTCTAGCATCCCCTGACCACATAAACATCCACACCTCTTAAAAAGCACATTTGTGAGAGAATAACGTTGACTTGATATGGCATCACACTCAATAAAGCCAAAAAAAAAAAAAAACCCAAAAAAAACCCCCCAAAAAAGTTTGAGAACAGAAACTGTGCAACCGAGAGTGATTTCTGAGGTACATGAGAACATGGTAATAAACATAGTGGAAAAAATCCAGTGGCCAGGTGGTTTGCTGAGTAATTAAGAGCTGTCCGATTACTCAAGCATAAATCATTGACATTGACATGGGATTAATCCTTATTTTTCTCTTTCACAATCATGTTGGAAATATAAATAAATAATGAGGTGCTCCTACACTACAGTAACAGGAAGGAGGGGGAAATTCATCGAAGTACCATCAATAGGAAGCTGAGAGAGAAATGCTTTTAACAACTGTGCCAACCCTTTGGCACTTGAGAAGGCATAATCAGCAACACTTTTTTTTTCATTTTTTTTAATCAATCAATTGGTTTATGATTTCTGCAATTCAGGGGGGAAAATCTCACACCTCATTTGCAGTAATAGTATACTTCCTTTAACATCTGTTAAAGGAGAGTACGAAGCAGTAATTTTATTTTGAAAGCTACTGTGAGAATGCTCAAGTTCTAGGTTTTCCAGACTTCAAACATACAGTACACTATAACAAGATGGTTTGTATTTTCTGAGTACGTCACTGCAACCAAGGACACTACCAGGTCCCTGCGAGGGGCTGGAGCCAGCACAGACCTCCCAGGACCCTGCAAGGGGCTGAACAGTGCTGCCCCTTCCAGCCCAACTTGCCCTCACACTGCCAGAGAGCACCTGATCTATCTCAGTGATGGCTCTCAGCCCCTTCCTCATCAGTGCTGCAGAGCCCTGGGGGAGTGACACTGTAGGGAACACCCCTGTGGTCACTGTGAGACTGGGGCGTGCAGGAGGTGGGACCAAGAGCAGGGGCAGGTACCCTCAATACTAGTCCTACCTACACTTGACCAACAGCAGAGAGGGGAGCAAACCATGCCAACATGATGAGCACAGTGCCAACGCTCGCTGTCAGCTGCCACGCTGCAGCACAGCACAGGGAGATCCCACCATCTGGGGACCCTCTGGCACACCTCCTCATGAAGCTCATTTGCTAATGAAGGAAGGCTGTCAGGACTGCTCTGATCTGTCACACCAGAGTCTTGCTTTAACAACATTAACTATTTTGTTTCCTCCAGGAGAAACACTGGCGCTGAACTTCAGGCGCCCCCAATGCGAAGCATCAAGGTGGGAGGTGAGAACAAGGCTGTGCCCACCACCAGTTTTGGGAAAGACAGACCTGCTCTGGCGGAGCCGGTGGAGAGTCAATGCATTTTTTCCACTATGAAAAGGATACCGAAGACTAAAAAAGGAGCTAGAGCTCTGCCTCGGCTGCTTGCGACCTCTCCCCGGCGCGGACGGGGCAAAACCAAACTGTCACTGTGTGAGGTATTGTGAAAATGGGAACCATTTCTGTTTTGTCCAGCAAACCTGAGGTAAGTATACCGTCTTTGCAGGATGTGATCAGGAAGGAAGGAAGGAAAAAAAAATAAAGAAGAAAAAAAAATAAAATAAAAAAGAAAAAAATCATGAACACGCTATTAGGAAAAAAAAAACTGTACAGGGCATTTCCAGTAAATCAAAGAACTCATCATATCTCCACTTAACCATCTACTTCAGGATTTGAAATTTAAGCAGTAAAATAATATATTATAAAAATGTTTATAAAATAGCAGCACACTCAGTGAAACAATACAGCTAAGTACTGTTAATGTGAATAAGAATGAAACAAATCATAGCTTCTTAGCAGCGCAAAAAAAAAAAAACCAAAACCAAAAAACCCCCCAAAAACCAAAGAAACAACAAAACCTTAGACTCTTACTCCATTTTCTACCCTCATCTAGCCAAATACGGCTGAGTCCATTCATATAATATTCTTCGAAGTAGCATGTTCTTTCTGGATTTTTATCTTAAAAATGCAAACATTAAAATTTCAACCAACAGCTTCATACTGGATATCTGCAAACTGTTAATACAATTGTGCAAAAAAAAAAAAAAAAAAAGTTGCTCCAACTCCTTTGCCATCTAAATGCCTCTTCGTTACAGGTGGAGCAGGAAAATAAATTCAAGTACACTGAATACACCTTTGTAATAGAACTCCGAGTCACACACACCTCGATGGTTACCATCACGTCTGTTGCACCAGCAATTCTCTGTCGTTGTCCATAGATAAGCATGCAGGTGGTATTAAGATCCTTCTGTGACACTGAACAATACAGATGGTCAGGCTTTTCTCCGGAATGTCATGACAGGAATGTCATCTGAAGCAGGTATTGGTATTTCCAGCAACACCGCAACTAACCAAGTACACCAGATACTGGAAAATATTGACTATAAAAAGCTATATGCTTTGCTTTTTGTGACTTCTTTTTTTTTTTCTTTTTTTTTTTTTCCTTTTTTTCTCTTTTTTTTCACTCGGCAAAATTGTCATAAACCATCTCATTTAATCCCTTAGGAACAATTTTCAAAGTGCTTTTCGAATGAAATGGTTTATAAAAACACTCACTGTGGATCAATAAAGTTAATGAAATGCTAAAAAAGTGTGTGTGGGGGTGGTGGGGGAAGGTGGGAAGATAGACGAGGGATCAAACCAAATCTCATCTTCTTTAACACAGTGAGGTTATGTTAAAAAGGAAGATGGACAGAGCATCATTTAAATGTCTTTATGGCCAAGCTAAGAAGCTGCCAAAGGTTAACATTGAGGTGAAGCATTAGCACTGTGAAGGAGTATAATGCTTTTCAGAGATGATCCACCACATCTTGCAATCCAAAGGTTGGAGGTGATCTGATCAGCCAACCAGTCGGAATTAATGGGTGCATTTCCCCCATTTAACATCAACATTGATAACTTTGGCTTGGCCCACAGTTGGGTAAACGGAATTGCCCTTATGCCAAAGATGCTGCTGTGTTTAGAATGAACCATTTCTGAAGGAAAAGTAGAAAAGAAAAGTCAAGAGGGGAGAGGGGAAGTTAAAAAAAAAACAAAACAAAAAAAGAAAAATAAATCAACTAAAAAACCCCAAAAACACCTGCTCTTCTGGCTGGTAAAATAAAGCATCTTCTTTCTTAGGTAGCAGCTACCACAGACAGCAAGAGTAAACAAAACTAACATACAGAGATCCAACAAACACTTCTGACTAATAACAGAGGTGACAGATCAGCAAATCTCTTCTGCATTCAAAATGGTTCAATTGCTTCAGGGATCTTTTCCCACTTCGCCCTAAACCCCTTATTCTATTGCTTTGCAATCTAGTCAAGCCATAAATTCGCACACACAATTCCTTTCTTAAATCTAAAAAAGGGGTGTATGCACTAGGTCATAATACACAGACAAGTATACTCTACTTTGTTCCCACAAATGCAGGCTTACATTGATCTAGCTACTCTGTATGCTTTTATAAGCATTTAATATCACTGATACATAATCAAATAGCAATTACCAAATATATTGTGGGATTCCCTTCTGTAGAACATCACAGGCACCAAATGCTTTTTTTTTCCCATTATTCAGTTTCTGTTTTGTTTTTTTTTTTGTGTGTGTTTTGCATTTTTTTTTACCTAAAAGAGCTTTAAATATGTTCTATGTGGGAGCAGATTAAAAAAAAAATCACTCTAAAAATAATAACAAAAATAAAGGGGCTGGGGGAGCAAGCGTGACTTTCTGTGCCGATGTCCTCACAGGTTGATATCTCTCACATCTGTGGGAGTGCTGGCCTGGTCCAGTTCATCCATGGTCTTAGAAGGATTGCTTTGCTGTTGCTGCTGCCGAACTTGCCGAAGGCTATTTACTAGCACCGCCTCGATCTGTTCTTGACAAGCTTTAAGGCAGTCCTAGAGGGCAGAAAGCAAATTGATCTGTTAGTGTTCCTACTGAGCTAGCACAAGCTGGAAGAGCATTAATCTGCTAGTCCTAAGAAGTGTCTGCACTGACCCAAAATGACCTTGAATTCATAGAATCATAGAATTTTAGGGGTTGGAATGGACCTTACAGATCATCTAGTCCCAACCCCTGTCCTGGGCAGGGACACCTCCCATCAGAACAGGTTGCACAAAATGACCTTGAATTCGTAGAATCATAGAATTTCAGGGGTTGGAATGGACCTTACAGATCATCTAGTCCCAACCCCCTGCCATGGGCAGGGACACCTCCCACCAGAGCAGGTTGCTCAAGGCTTCATCCAACCTGGTTGTGAACACTGCCAGGGTTGAGGCAGCCACTACTCCCCTGGGCAGATTCTTACAGGTAATCACTGTGTGCAAACTCCTTGGGTTAAACAGTGCTAATGCCATATTTATTGGACTCTCTAAATCTTACTATTTCACTGGTCCTTGCTCAGCAGGTTGACCAGAGAAGTTTCATTTCTTCTGAAGACTCTAAGAAGAAAGTGTAAGTTTTAAGGATGTGGGTAGATTTCATACAGATGTCTGTTCTGATATTTAGGCCTGTTTCAACGCATGTCTCAGATGACTGGGAGTTCTTGGACATCATGGTAGGAGACATACCTACATAGTGCCCTTGAGACTATACTACATAGCACTTGGAGAAACAGCAGGACACAGTACAGCAACACAAATGTGGGAGCCCTGTACCTCAGGATTCCCACAATAAACATGAAGTATAAATACACAAACAAATGTGAAGGATTCACACCTAAACCAGACACAGCAATGAAGAACACGACTATTAAAACATTTACAGGATGTCCCACATTCTTGATAACATGCTGGAAGACCAAATAGTATGGTTATTTAACAAAGAAATGTGTGAGAAAAAAATGACAAACACTTAAGTTATAGCAGAAACTGAAAAATAAACCCCAAGCTGTGACCATTATAAACACAATTATGTGCAGGGTGCTGGGACTGTATCAGTGTGACACTGTGTAGGTGGGCACATGGTGCTATGATAAATGGCATTTTCTAAGAACAGCCCTGAGGAGTCCTACAACACTGCAAAAGGTACTCATACTGTAAACTTGCTGCAGCCCCAGTCTGCCAAAGTGCTGGATCTTTCCCAAAGACTTCAAGGAGTAGAGAAATGTGGGGTTTGGCAGGAGGATTTTTACAGCACAGTACTTTAACCAGAGCCCTGGCAGCATCTGGCAGGGGTGGTGAGACAGTATCACCGTTCCCACTTTCAGGCAGGGTTGCTGAAGAAGAGAGCTAGGCAGTGACCTCCACAGGGTTCCATGGACACTTGGCAGTCTGGGAACCCAGTATGGGATGTGACTGCACCTCTGGGGAGCTGGGCTCTGACCAACACCCCCAGCTTTCTCTACACAGTACCAGGTTATTTGGGAGAGTTTGAAACGCTCATGTTTGGAGGTTTGATTAGCCATCCCAGCCAACCTGGGGAAACACATCAAGCAAAGAGTATCTGTTCTGCTGATGACACTGATGTTCATGATGGGCACAATTAGCTCTGGTGGGTCATGAACACCCATTTCTCTTGGCTGCTATCCAGCAGCTGCTAACTGCAAAACCTCCTTGTCGTGAAACTGGCAAAAGCTATCTGAAACTCAGATGAAGAAAATCCCCTGCTATTAGCTTGGGTGGGTTTTAGGCCTGATTTTAGCATTCACCTGTCTGCAAGAGGGCAATGGCAACAAGTCACTTCATGGGTGAGGGCATTTTTAAGTGTGGTGGCACCAGTTTGGAGACTCGTATAACAGATGACACTCGTCATGCACTTTTTTGGGTGTAAGAATCCCCTGTTTAAAAGCACAGCCTTGCACAATTTCAACATACTATGTCCTTCTGAAAATAAGCCAGATTTTTTTAAGCAGCTTCAGACTGAAAAGCTTAATGAGGCAATTTCCTTGCAGCCAGGCTGGGGGAAGGAAGGGTGGTGACATGCGGAACATAAGGCTCGAGCATTTGGAGTTAACTTTGTCTGTTAAACACCCTTGTACATGATACTTATTCTATACAAACTCCTCATGGGCAATGTGATTGTTTTTATTAATGTATGAAGTGGCTAAATCTCTAGGTAATTCTGTAGAGAAATGGGTGATTTCTGATGTCTTCACTTTGTATGTCAAATCAGTTAAAGGGCTTTGATTGGAACTGTCACATTGATTTTATTTCAGATGGGAATCCACAGGCCACTGTGTATTATTTCTGTCATGTGTTAGCTCTGGTCTACACTTAGGTTTTAAAATACTGTACCAGTGAATTCTTGAAAACAAAGGAACCTAAGTTAAAATGACCAGCACATTGCATTCAGCATGAAATGACTTCCCAAAAAAAGTCTTGCTTTTTGCATACTAAACTCCTTGGATGTTAATCTCATAGGTGAAAGGAGAAAAACCTGATTTAGAGTATCTTAACAGCCCAGTTGTCATAATGTGATGAGGCAAGTCACTTTATTTTATGGGTGGGGGCACCACTGGAACTGTCTGTCAATCCAAAGTTAAGTGACAGGATACAAAAAAAAAACCCAAAACCCATCTGGCCTTCACATGACACAAGTATTTTTAACCCCTCCAAGTTCCACATGGAATTGCTGCATGTGTACGTATTTTACTGGTGGACTTGCATTTGGCAGGCTCTAGATAGCACTGACAAGAGAGAATTAAAGCTTTAAAAACATACCAAAGAAAAACCTATGAATTGCATTCTTTTCAGCAAATCTTCCTTGACAGAACACTATCACACAAGGCAGCAATGGGCCCAGATTTTGCACTACAGGGACTGGGCCATTCCTTCAGAATACTGCAGGGCTGCCTTTGTTGTTTCTATAAAAAAACTTTTTAAAGTGTGTGTCACATGGATCAACTTCCCCATTCTTCTATATGGTCTAGTAGTTTTAATGATTAAAATAGTTCTGGTACTTTCCATTCCATAGTTTTTTTACTTCAGCAGGTACAGAACTAAAAAGGCAATTAATTTGGGGGTTTCTCTTTTTTTTTTCTTTTGAAACTCTTTCATCCCTAGGTGATTTTACTAGCACACTTGAAGTGCATTTGAAGGAAAAGAAAAGCTTTTCTGTGTCTGAGGAGAGGTACCCTCCTGGCTGTGATGGAAATGCTGGCAGTGAAAATAACTGGAAGGAGGAGGAATCAGCAGCTCTGTGGAATGATCGACTTACTCAACTTGAGATTTCAACTTCCATTCATGATCATCTTAAAAGATAGCACAAGCTCTAGGAAAGATCTTGCAGAATATTACACATAATTAATTTTCCTGAATTTTTCAACAACTCTGTAATACATATGTCTTATGCTGGCCCCCAGCTTCTAGTTTTAAACTGGTATTTATAGTTCATCAGCAAGCTGAGTGGGAAGGCCTTCTATTCACCTCAGCCAACAGGCTCTTGCTTTGCACTGGCAATCGCTGGGATTTTCAGTCCTGATGGCTCCAAGCCCCAGGAGCAGTCTGTGCCCAGATTCATTTCACAGCCAGGCAGGGCCAGGAAATGATAGCACACCCCTGGATCCACACTGTTCTTGTAACACCCAGGTCTGCCAGACCGTGCGGTCCTTGTGCCAGCAACCAGCACAGCTTCACAGAATCACAGGATGGGTAAGGCTGGAAGGGACCACAGTGGGTCATCTGGTCCCAGATCGCTGCTCAAGCACAGCCATCCTAGAGCACATGGCACAGGATTGTGTCCAGATGGTTCTGGAGTATTTCCAGTGAGGGAGACTCCACACCTCTCTGGGCAATCTGTTCCAGTGCTCGGTCACTTGCATAGTAAAGAAGTTCTTCCTCATGTTCATGTGGAATTTCCTGGGCATCAGTTTCTGCCTGTTGCTTGGCATCACCAAGCAGAGCCTGATCCATCCTCTGACACCTTCTGCAGATACTGACAGACATTAATGAGGTCCCGCTCAGTTGTCTCCTCTCAAGGCTGAACAGACCCAGCTCCCCCAGCCTTTACCCATAAGAGAGATGCTCCAGTCCCTTAATCATCTTTGTCACCCTCCACTGGACCTGCTCCAGGAGCTCCATGTCTCTCTTGTACCGAGGAGCCCAGAACTGGACACAGCACCCCAGATGGACCTCACTAGGGCTGAGGAGAGGGGCAGGATCACCTCCCTGACCTGCTGGCAATGCTCTTCCTAATGAAGCCCAGGATACCAGTGGCTGCTCCCTGACTCCGGCAGGCAGGAATGAACACTGTGTGGAAGGTGTGATCTCAGCTCTGGTCTGTTCCACAGTGCCTCAGGACACAGTACTTTTTGTATTGTGATTTTTAGATTCCCCTTCTGCATCTCGGTTTTGGTCTTGCCTAAGAGAAGAAATATAAAAGCTTACCCCAGCAAACCTCCTAATGTTTGTTTGTTTATCTGAAACTAAATTTAGGGAAACATCTGGGTACATGGAAACTGGTCTGAGCCCTGCAACTCAGCCTTTGCTCATCCATGATGGCACTCTTTTGGGAATCCAGAGAAAATGTATTATGGCAGCATTTAGGGAAGAAAACAAAGACTGTAAAACTATTTAACAAGGTTTCATTTCAATTCTGTGAAAGTTAAGTATCTCTTAGCCCTTGACAAGATCTTAGCTAGATGGTGAGGGGTTGTGCATCAGCAACCACAGAGTAAGGCAAGCACCAGCTGAGGCCTCAGCCTGCTAAACAGCTTTGATCAGACCAGTGAGAAATGACTGAAGAGAAGGCACAACCATCTCTCAGAGCCATATCTGGGATGTACAGACACCCAGCTACCAGGAGCTCAGCTTGGAAAGCCCAAGGAAGTTGGCAGGGATCAGCAGGCTTGGAGTAGCATCTCTCCCCCAGCCCAAGATATGCTCTCAGGCCAACAGCAAGGCACAGTCATGAATTCTTATGCAATGCCAAGGCTGAGGACAATCCCACTTAGTGCCTG